TTTTTTTTTTTTTTTTTTTTTTTTGAGTTTGGAAGCAATTCTTACATCAGTTTACTTGTTTCTGCAAGCAAAATTTCCTTTCTCTGAAAAAATGGTTATATGTTGCATAGTCCAGTCTTGAAATTAGGAAATTTGAAATTGAATATAGAAATTTTCTCTGGATGCAAAATTTAGATCAATTCACTTCCATGTTAATCTTAAGAAGCCTAATCGTTAAAATTTTGGAGGCAAACGAACATGATTTTTCGGGCAAATAACTTTAAACATCTGAAATCTGCTGATCGAAATCATTAGCGGAACAAAATCACGAAACCGATGAACTGTACCACCTTCAATTTGCGTTCAGTGCTAAATCAAGCCTTTTCTCTTTATTCTTGTTTGTGGGGCGTATATTAGCTGAGCAAAGCGTTCTTTGCTAAAATGTACATGTGGTACTGGAGAATTGTAGTGGCAGTGGCAGATCAGCTTCTAACTTGCGCGTCTGGTAGCGCCAACATAGCACCGAAAGTTACGGTTTTTAGCTGACTGGAACCGTCAATGAGGATTAGATCCTTTTGGTGCTTTTCTCTTTTTCTCTTTCTCCCACTTTTCGCGAAGTTTCTTTTTACTTGCAAACCTAACAATGAAAGTACTGTAGGTGAGGCAGGGGCATGGCTGTAGCGTGCATAAGGCAAAGGCGTGGGATTGGGGCGCAGAGTGCAGTAGCAGCAACAGGGGCGTAGGTGGCAAGGGCAGGGGCACGGTGTAGAAGAGAGGGGGGTGTAGGAGGCATGCAAGGGCATGATTGCCGGTGTCCAGGGGGTATGATTGCGGGTGATCTGGGCGCAAAAGGCATGGGATCTGGGCGCAGAGAGCAGGGTTGGTGTAGAGCAAGGCTGGTTCGTGGGAGTGCAAGGCTGACGTAGAGGTGCAACAGCAAGGGATCTGGGCGCAGAGGGTACTGGTTCGGGAGAAGAAAAGGGAGAAGGCCAAGGTGTGTGGGGAAGAAGAAGGTTCTGGAGAGCAAAAGATTTAACTTTTATTTTTAGCATCCACCGTGTGAAAAAACGACACGCTGGCACAGGCTAAACGGAGATTGTGATGGTACTGACGTCGCCTGTTAAATAATGATCGATTTGAAAAAATGAATACTTTTAGGGTGTCATTTGTCTCTATTTTTTCTGAAAGGTTACTCTGTCCCTACCTATATTTGTCAGGGAGTGATTTGAGGGTTCTACCTGCGCATTATGCATTCTTCGCTGTATACCACGTGCTAGTACAAGTATGGTGCTGGTTATTGACAGATTACTTTTAAGTCTGATGTGACTTTTTAATATTAGATTTATTTATTTTTAAGATATAAATTAAAATTTATTAATTAAAAAATTTATAATTAATTTTATATAAATTTTTATA